CAAAAAACAATGTAAAGGACATTAATTTGTATTGCTACTCTGAAAGATTTTCAGTTGAAGCATGAGTTCAGAATAATGGTCACATTGCCTTGCAGTCACAGGAAACCTGGGGAACTCTGTACCAGCATGAGTCGGAACAGTTGATATCCTCTGATGCATTCCCTGTTGATTTCTAGTGATGAAAAGGCTTCATTTGCTTCCTCTCATGCTTTTCTTGCTCTGCAGGATGAAGACTGTAATGTTCAAAATAGTTAACAGTCTGAAATTACCTTCGCAATCTAAAAACAATAATGTAGTGCCTCAAACTGTGATAAAGTAAGATTGAGCTGCCCTTTTAGTTTTGTATTTATATTTCTATGGGTATATATGCATCTTCCGTACCATTGACACAAAGGGATAAAATGAGCATTAAAAAGAGCTTCAGCATCAAAGCTGGGCATCATGCAAAGCTGAGTTCCATGTTATGTTAGCTCTCAAGAAAACTACTTGAACACAGAGACAGATCAGTGCACCCTGCCAACTGATTTACCTTGCTCTTGCCACCCCATACGCTGAGACACATTTTTTTCTGGGCCAATTTTGAATGCAAGTGTAACACTGCTTTCAAGTGCTATATTTATTGCAAGCTTCTGTTTATTCCTGGCATCCTTCCTTTGTGTTGAGTTCCTGTCATTGCCTGTCTCTGTGAACTTCAGTTGCCTCACTTCCTTGGTTGCTTTCACACTATGTGATGTTGTTCTTGTGTCCTGTTCCCCTCTCCCCATCCCATTCCTCTTATGAAGTGTCAGAAGGACAGTTGGTAGCTGAGAACAAAAGATGACCTTCTGAGCCTTGTATATTGTGCAGAGAGTTATTTAAAGAGTGACAGGTGTTTAGTTTTTGTACCAATACCATTATTTTTCCTTTCCTTCCACTTTTATAGTGGCCTCTGGGCTTTCCCATCAAGTTGTAGGATTTCTTAGCCTTTGCAGAGTGTGTTGTGTTTTGGCCATGTATATTTGACTTGACCCCAGTAGATGAGTTTTATAAAAGGCTTTGGAAAGCAACCATGTGATGCTTGTGTTAGCTCATCTTATCCTTCTTCATTTGGACATACCCTAGTGAAATGAATCTCTTAAAATGATGAATATCCAGGAGACAGATAATAAAGAAAACCTATGCCAATTGTAACCAATTTTTTTAATGTAGTAGAATGCCTCTTGACATTGTGTGAGAGCACAGGAGAAGTAATTTCCGTGGGTAATTTCTTTTGCATTAGATACCCTGAAGTGTCTGCATTCTTGCTAGAGCACTTGTAATGGTATGGCTTGGGATTTGCATAAAAGATTGTTGAATTTAACATGATCTTTGGTATACCTGTGCAACAGGTAGCTTCATTCAACATTAAAACACCTGGAGAAACATTAGGCTGCTGTGAAATTGGCTTATTCAGTATTTCAATTGAGGTTTATAAGAAAATGTGAGTATTGAGATTTTATCAGTATGACAAATTGATATTTTATCAGTATGACAAATATATATATATATATATATATATATATATATAATATTAATAATAGAGTAATCATCTCTTGCGTATATTTCCAACAGATCATATGTGCATGATTGCAGAGCACCAATTCCCATCTCAAACTCTGGTTTTACTTGCTTTTGTGAACTGTATGTCAGGACAGTTCTTGCACAGTTATGTGCCTGCTATCAGTGAAACTTCAAGTTCTGCAGGGAGGCAGCTGTTTGGTTAGTACATAACTCCCAATTGAGATCTATCCTAATGTAGATAAATATTAGATGATGGTAATTGGCAGGATTTTCTTTAGAGATACAGAGGTAAGCTCTTGACATGAGGTATAATGTATAATAATAATGTATAATAATAATAATAATAATAATATAAAAATAATAATAATGTATAATAAGGACTTGAAGTCCTTATACATTTTTTTTGCCTATGAAAATTATGATTGAGAAAAATGAGATTTTGAATAAACATCACAAATTTTTAAAAATATGCACAATATTACACTGTTGTAATTGCTGGTTAAAAGGTGCATAGAGTAGTTTTATCTGTTAAAATAAGAATTATTCTGAGAAAGTATGGGGGCCACTCAAAATATCTTACTATATGCTGTCAGTAACAGCATCTTGCAGAAACATCCAGACAAGGGAAAATGGTAACATTTCACTCATATATTTACACAAGATTTTCAGAATTGTTCTTAAAACATGTTTGGAGAAAGGTGTAGTAGGGAGAACACATAGCAATTCATTTGCTGCTTCAGATTTATTGAAGTAGTTGCAAGACAGACATTCAGTGCTTCTTTTAAGCCTCTGGGAAAAACACCAATGAATAGTAACAGTATAAAAGAAAAATAAACATTGAGCAATACTTTTCCATTTCACAGAAAAAGCTTATATACTTGACAAAATTACAGGACAGTTACCCTCTCATATATCCCAGTTGTGAATTTATGTATGGCTATGAATCTCATTTGAACTCCTTTTTTAGTGTCAGAATGACAAAAAAGGAGAAAAATCTCATCCTAGGTCTTCACTAGAACCTCTTATTATCTGCGCTCTACTCTCCTTTTACAAAAAGGAGAGCTGTAAAAAGACAGTAGAGTAGATAATAAGAGGTTCTAGTGAAGGTCTAGGATGAGATTTTTCATATACAATGTCTTGAAGAAGGTTGTGTTTTAAAAAATGGGGTTTTTTTTCCTCAGTTTTCTTATTTTCCATTACTCTCTCCTACTTTGTTTATCTTCTCATGTTCTTTCCAAAAGCCTTTCAAACCTACTTTTCCTCATCCTTCATTTGATTATACTTGCTTCACCTTTTGCTCTGGCTCTAACCTGGTTGTTCCCTTCCCATCTGATTCTGCTGATGCTAGGGATGATCACACGTGCTGCTACCGCGTATGGAGAAGAAAAGTAAGCACTTCTTCAGGCAGCTACTACAGTTAAACCGAACCTCCTTTTATCTTCCTAAGTGTTAGTTTTGGTGGGAGTGTATGCCAACTGTTTCATTTTGGGGTCTTGGTAACACCTTTCAACACTGACGCATTTTGCTCCTTCCGTGAATCTTCTAATGAGAGACGTCGTGACATCAGTCTTCCAAGAAAAAAGCTGAGCTTGCCCCGTCTTAAAAGAGCTGCTGGAAAGTTTCTGTGCAAACTATCAAGGCCAGCAGGCCATAGTCTCCTGATAAAATCTTTTTTGAGTATCTCAGAGCAAAGAAAATAGAGGAGTGATGTGTGGTAATCTGAATGGCTATTTTACCCTTCTCTGAAGGTATCTGGAATCTTTTGGTTGAGAATAGGTGAAAAACATCCTGTGTTACTTTGTTATGACCAGATCAAAAAATGCAAAAAGCACATTTTCTTGGGGGAAGGAGGATTTGTGAGCACTGACCTGTAAGTCTTTATTCAGTATTTGGTTTTCACAGCTTTCCTCACTGATGCTTGGGGCAGTCTGGTTTATTCTAGTTGTAAACCCTCTCTTGTATTGCTGTGGTCTTGTGAGGATTACTGCAGATCTAGAGCACAGTGATACGAATTGATAGAATAAGAATTGGAGGTGCAAGTCTGTGATCTGCCAGGGGAGTACTTAGGGTATCTTTGTGCGCCCTACACTCTACCTAGAATGGATGGGTTCAGATTCATTGTAAAGCACATACTTTTAATGTGGTCTTCACTCTTCTGCGGTCAGTAAGGCACATTTTCAAATCAAGATTCAAGAAAAACAGGGAATCAATCTATTTATTAGTCCATCTGTTAATAGTCTGGAAAGAAAGTGTTCTATTTGTGAAAGAGATACAGTCATCAGGGTGTATTATGGAGTTTCATCCCTGTGTGTTTGTGGATGCATGACAATTTTCCGATGTGTGGATTCCTGCTCTTCACAGTACATTCTGGCTCATTAGTAACTAAGACAGAGATTAATGCTTTTTTGGAAGAAAAATATGTTCCTTAGAAGGATCTAAATTCTTCTCTTATGCATGTACAAAATAATTTTCAGTTAACTCAGCTGACAGCTTGGCACATCCAAATGACCATGGTCCAGATTAATGATTGGTACTGATACTTTGCTTACGTATATCTTGATTTGTTTTACTGGGGTGCCATGTATTGTATAAACAGGGAGGCACCCATCTGTTTAAAATCATTAATTTAATTTCTGATGTGTGGTTAACACTATAAAGATTTGTCAGCAATTTTATTTTTCAGTGAGACATCAAAAATAATTGAAGCCATGTCCCTCTTAGCTATTCCAAAATCCTGGGTGTGGCCGGAGCTGTGCAAACACAGTGGGCTTCTGTTAATTTAATCCATCTGGATATACTGAAAATCACTAATCAGAATGCTTCTTCTGTTGGTGTAGTCTGTTTCCATTTGTTTTCTCCTCCAATATAGCTGTTTTAGTCTAACTTCTGCATAAGAAGCTTATAGGTTTTGATTGTAATGTTTTTCAAAATGTGTGACTTCACTGTGCAAAAGCTGGAGACTTAAACACATCAACATGCTTTTAAGGAGAAGAGTACACAATTAATTATGGTTGTGTTTGCTTAACAATGAAAGGATTTGTTTTTCTCTACATGTTAGAATGTGCAGTACACCTGTGTTTTGAGTGTGTGTGTTATCTTCTTCAACTTTTTCACCCAAGCTTCTTAAGAAGCTTGAAGTAAAAACTGTCCTGTCCCTAATCCTTAATATTAGAAACTAGAGGAAGGAGTGGTATATAGAGACCCATAACAAGTCTGACTGAGCCATTTAAAGAATAGATAAAAGGAATTGAAAAACATAATGTTCTCTAAATGTTCATTATTTCTTTCAGACATATTCTTTAAGAGAACAAACTAACGTTTGAATAGGCATTTTGAATATTCTAATTCTAATTCTACATTATTATAATGTAGTTATCCTCTACTTGGCTTTAATTGCACTAATCCTTTTATAGAAGAGTGTGGAGGTATCTAAGTCATCTCTTTTTTTTTTCCCTTCCTAGTTAATGGTCTAATGACGCTTGGATTCGCAGGTGAGTCTTACCTCAAAAATTCAAGCTTTTGTTTCTGTTTTGCTAATGGTTGACCTTTGAGAAACACTTCCATCCTATCTCATCTCAATAAGTCAATTGTCATGTATTTTTTTACAACTGGTCTTATCCATTGGCTTTATGCAAGAGAGTGTTGTAGTGTTTTGTAAAGGTCATTCTCAATATATTTATACAAGATTTTCAGAATTGTTCTTAAAACATGTTTGTTTTAAGGTGCAGCCTTACAGTGATGATCAATTTGCAGAATTATCCATGATTTTGACCTCTTTTGGTCATGGATTTAGACAGAAACCCTTGTGTCATCAGATTTGGCTCAAATTACTCTGATGAAGGGTTTTTTTTTCTATGACCCTGCAAAATATTGAAATTTTAAATACAGACAAGCAGAAATACCAATGGCATGGAAAATCCATTTAAACATCCTTCTGGGAAGGGGCTGGAGTAAATTGTCAGCACACGTGACGTAGTGGAAGAAAAAATTGTGCTGTGTTGGATTTGGTTATAAATCATATGATAGCTGGTTGTTTAGAATACCCTGCCAGAAAAAGCAGCTTTGCGTAATGTTTGTCAAAGCATCAGTGCAGGATTTAAGTTGTGAGCTGTGCAATTTTTGTATGTGGTTTTGAATTCTGCACAGCTTTAGCATTCATCTGCAAGTCTGTCTGTGGAAAGTGTAACAGGTGACTGCTGCAGCTGCCCGATGAATCGACATGAACACTTAAGTAGGCAGGAGCCATGTTATCATGTTAACTTCTCATGGATAAAATTATGCTGCCATTGTGTGGTAATTTTTACCATTTTTATCACAGTAATTGTAGTTCTGACTTTTTGCCAACATGGATAAAGGCTTCATGGCAGCTTTAAGAGCACTGACAGATATGATGAAGGAGCAAGGATTAGTCCCAATGAGTGAGCCATACACCTGGAGAGGTGTACAGTCTGTAGGAAGTTGTAGACTTAATGGTTTCAGGTGCAGCATAGGCTGTCCTGTTGTGGGCCAGCTCTTGGCAAGTATGTGAAAGCAAGGTGTTTATTTGGCCAGATGAGATTTGTCATACAGCATCACGGAGAGAGTGACCACCACTAAGGAGTCTACTGTGATACCTGGAGTGAAATTGCAAGGTGCTCCTGCCCAGGCTCCAAAGGAGCCAGCTCCTTCCTGTGTGAAATGATGTTCACTCAAACCTGTTTCACAATCATATGCCTCATTTCTAATGGAGATACTCAAGCTTCTGAGTATCTGATGGCTGGGTTGTGATGTGAAGCTTGAGACCACTCATCTTGCCTTAGAGTTTGCAGTTTTCTTTACTAGATGGTAACAAATGGGGCCATGAGGACTTCTCCTCTTACCAAGCAAAGTCCTGCCTGATTTTGACCTCAGTTGGCTTCAGGCGATGTGTTCGGCTGTTACCACACAAAATTAGAACCACCAGCTCTTTTCAGCAGTGATAGGATCCTGCTTTCCAAGTAACTAATAGAAGCAAAAGAAATACCTCTTCTCCCTGGTGTAAACATGTTCTCAGTAAAATTTTTTTTAGGAGTAAATGGTCTGTTCTCCTTGGCTGTATTCTTAAAAAAAGCTGTTCCTCCAGAATTCTCAGGGGGATTCCCTGATATACCAGTTTGTTTTAGGGTTGCAGTTTTGTTCAGGTAAACACATTTCTTGAATTTGATCTGCTGTGAAGGGAAAAAAAAATTATGAATAATTTAATTTAGGCATTTGTATTAAAGATGTCAATATACATATATTTACTGATAATTTTCAATGGTAATGCTTTTTTTTATACATGGTCAAAATGTGGCATCTGTAGAGGTAAAGCAAGACATTTAGTGGCTTGATCAAAACAAAATGTTTCAGCCTTATCAAAATCAAACACATTAGTCTGAAGAGAATATTTTCAAAATTTCAATTTTATAACAAATATTAAAATATTATCTTTGTACTCCAGTGCAGGCATGTGCTGGGTGAGAAAAACATTTGACTGGTTAAATATACTGGAGTTGCCATTATAGGTTGAAAAAGTTACAGGCTTGCTCAAGTCAAGGTTAACTCTTTCTTTGCAAGTAGCTATATGCTGCAATTTTAGCATTTGATAATTGCAGATTATTCTTAAAATTATAGAATTGTTTATGTTGGAAAAGACCTCTATGGTCATTGAGTCCAGCTGTTACTTCAACACTGCCAACTCCACCACTAAAATTTTTCCCTAAGTTCTGCATCTACACATCCTTTAAATACCTCCACGGGTGGTGGCTCAACCACCTCCCTGGGTAGCCTGTTCCACCCCTTTTGGTGAAGAAATTTTTCCTAATATCTAATTTAAGCCTCCATTGGCACTTTGAGCTGATCTAGTGCTTGTTACTTGGGAGAAGAGACCAAACCCTGCCTGGCTACAGCCTCCTTTCAGGAAGTTGTAGAGAGCAATCAGGTCTCCCCTGAGCCTCCTTTTCTCCACACTTAACAATGCCAAAGTCCCCCAGCTGCTCCTCACAGGACTTGATCTCTAGACAATTCCTTTAGTGGCTATACTAAAGAAAAAGCTTTGATTGCGGAAATTCACACCCTTTAGCTGGTAAGACATACAAATATTTCCAATGTTAAAGTAATTCCACAGTAATATAGGTAGTTGAATGTGATGCATGTGTGTAAGCTTGAAAAGTGCTTTCTACACTGAAATGTGGGATTGGGAGATCCAGTTAGCTTTTAACTAAAAATGCAAATGGATGGTAATGAGTTAATATGAGTAGTAGCTAAGTAAGATTAGAAAAGTGATTAGATAGGTTCCTCTATGCTAGATTTAAAAGGCAGTACTATATATGATAACCTTTAGTTTTTTATACAAAGTTGTGTTTTTAACATATTTATGTAAATACATGTTTTGTTTATTTTCTAAAAGTGCTTAGAAAATTAAATGTTAAGCCTATGATAATGTAAATGGCATATTGGACTGTGTGAACAAATTTGAGTGATGTGCTTGTGCTTCTATTTCAGTGTTTGTGATTAAAGGTGCATCTGATGTTTCCTAGGTGCACGTCAACAGAGTGAGCTCTGCAATGAATCTCTCATGTTAGAAAAGTTGCCTGCCTGTGGAAAATCCTTTGAAGAGATGATGAAGAGAGTGGACTCAAAAAAGTGGTGCAACCTTACAGAATTTATTATGTAAGAGTTAGTTTTGGTTTTAATATTTCTCCCCTAATGCATATAAAATATTTATGTTCCAGAGTATAGAAAACCTTCTGTATTTTGTTGCCCCTTGCAGAGGGCTAAGCTGTCACTCTTAAGCCCTGCAGTAAGGCCATGTGCACACAGAGACACCTGGCTCTTAACTCAAACAGTGTGCAAAATAGTCTACTTTAATGAAAACTAACCAATGGGCTGTTTAGTACTAGCTGCTATTGCATTACCTCAGACAGTTGTGTTTACATTTAATCTATATTTCTGTGCCTTTTAAGCAAATGTTCTGTAACTAATCTCTTCTGTGAAACCACTAAAGCAATAATGCTTTTAGAATCATGCTGTTCTCTTGACAGGAATACAGTTCCCTCTTCTGATTTCCTTTTCTTCAGTAAGATGACATTGTTTCAGTAATTCACCTCATGTGAAATTATCCAAATTAAAGTGATTTGTCCTATTGAACCTGCTGTCATAAACCTCTTTGCCTGCCAGCTAGCATGGAGAAAGCGAGCACCACCCATTCTGTTTGGATGTCTAAAATACTGCAAGACTGACAGTCGTGAGGGTGGCATTATTATTCTCTATTCTCTTTTTCCTGTTCCAAAGTTATGAGAGGTATTTAAACATCTCTCTATAAAGCTGCACACTTCAAATTTGAATCTGGAAAAAGCTCACAGGGTTTGTGAAATTGGTGGCATTTTTGGCTTTGTGGAACGTCTGCTTCTTAAGACCATGTCCGCTCATGCATAATGCCTGGTTATCGGAAGTGCTGAGTACCCTCCACACCAACTGAAATTAGAAGAAGCTGCAGTTGTTCAGCACTTCAGAAAACAAGCCTCAAGTGAACTAGACCTGGTATGGTATGAGCCAGCCTGAAGCAGAACACTTCCTGCATTTGCAGCTGTGCTGGTGTTGTTTCTGGAGTCTGCTGTGGAGGCAGAGTAGCCTCAAGCCAGTTGTCACCACCCGTGTTACAGTGTCATTGAGTCCCAGGTGTGTCCTGGTAGGATCATTGGTCTTGTGTCCTGTTTAGTGTCGTGTCATGTGATGCAGACTTTAACTCACTGATCACCAACAGACTGGACAGATGATGAAATGTTGGACTGCAGTGCTGTGTTGCATCAGTTCCCCATGACTCCCTTAGCACCAACACCTGTGTTGAAATGCCCCACCTGTTAATAATGTTTCATAATCTGACATATTATCAATTTAGATGCTATTCCTTCTTAGAACATTTATTCACACACCTTGATGACTAAAATCTTGCAATCTGTTGAAAGGTAGATTCTTAAATCTTATGGTACTGGAGTGAAAGATGCACTTATGCAGCACTCTCCAGCTGTGGGGAAGAGTAAGAGAAGGTTAGCTCTTCTAAACCAGCTTGCAGAAATTGCAGTCAAATCTGACAGAGAAGTGTGTGTATACTAGATGTTTTATTTATTTGTATTTATTTTTTATTTATAATTTTGCTCCGTTTTATCGTCATTATAATTGTTTTAGAAAAACAAGATTTCTTCTGTGAAATGTTACTTGAATCAATAAGTGACCTCAGCTTATGGGATTACTTGCAGCAGTGAAAAGTACCTATAGGAGCCAAAATACTAGACTGTACCTCTATTAATGCAAGCGAAAAAACAGGCAGCTTTTGGAGAGACTTCTGCTAAAATTAATTCAAGATTTTACATATTATGTGCAAGAATTTTTCAAGGTTTGGACGTGATTGAAGTCTCTGAGTTTTCCTGACTTTTAATTAGAGTTAAGAGTCCACCTTGATTTTATCCTTTCCAGTTGTGCTCACTGTTTGGTGTCGTTTTCATTCCCTGTACAAGACAATTTTTCTGAAGAAGTTGGTCAGTCTGAGGCTTTGCTCATTTTTCCTCAAAAGCAGTACCAGAAGAATTCAAGGCTCTTAAAGAAGAAAAATCTTTTACATTTTTAACATAATATATATTGTCTAAAAAACCTTTTTTTAGATGTTTCAAGTTCTTCTTCAGAAGAGAGTAGCAGGAGGAATTTGTTGTCAAATTTATCTCTTGAATCAAGCGTTAATCAAGCATTAGAAGTTTGATTACTAATTTATCATAAGGGTTCATTGCACTGAAGAGGCAGGAAATGCGCATCTACCTTTAAGATATTTACTCTTTTGAGAATAGACATTGTTATTTGGTGTCATACATTCTATAAGAAGCGTATATTATCACAGAATGGCCTGGGTTTGAAGTGACTGTAAAGATCCTCTTGTTCCAACACCTCTGCTGTGAGCAGGGACACATAGAGGTTAATTTATTCCAGCTCACTGATAGAACCCTGAGAGATGGGACAGAAGGACTTCTTTCTTTGGAGTAATCTGACAAATTAATAAAAAACTTATCTGAATTTTAAGTGCTCATGGATAGATATATATTTAAACGTGGTAATATTAGTTTGTGCTGATTTTACATCTAGCCTCCAGCAGTAACAATAAATCTGGATCAGATAGTGAGTTAAAACTGTGAGTTTTATGTGAAAGAAACTGTTTCTTCATGCAGTAATTTCTACATTGCACTTTTCACTTTGAAATAAATCTTTGTAACTTATATTAAAATGTAACCGTTAATGGAAATCTGCTAATTTTCTAAATTCCTTGTTTTGTGGAGGAGTTTTACCTCTTCAGTGTCAATGGCTGTCCTTTGGTTATGGGATTGTAAATAGCAATTATCTGTAGCGCTTCACCATTTGGCTAAACATTTGTGAGAGAATTTGCAGTGACTCCAATCTGCTGTAACCTAATTGACCTGAAAGTTTTTCTGACATTCTTAACAAAAGTGTGTTCTTTAAAAAGCAGCCTTTTCACTGATTTTGAACAGACGAGGCTTCTGTGGCAGCTGATACTGCAAACCAATATGAGAGTTTTAGCCTCCACAGCTGATATTGATCTTGCTGGAAATGTAAGATGATCACATATAGACAGTAAATTCTCAGGTAAAGTTTTACAGAAGCACTGTTAAATGAAAGTTTCCCTATTAATTTTTGCATATTTCTGTGAGAATTCGCAGTTAGTTAGGATACAAGTACTCTAGGTCAAATTGTCCAAAAGTATTTGAAAGCTTAAATACGATGAGGGATCACAGTGAGATTTTAACATATTTTAAGTCATTTAGATGTGGTGGATTTTAGTGGTTCTAGCTTGGACATCAGAATATGAAGGCTAACCACAAACAGCTTACAAAAAAGGTTAAACCTTCAATACACAGCCAGAGGTGTTCATTGACAGAAGAGAAGGAGTTTGCCTAGTTGCAATTTTGCTGAGGCCTTTAGATTATTGAGAGAGCTCTGAAGATGAAAATACAACAAGGTTGTTTAAAAGACTCAAAATTATGGTACATGGAAGGTGAATAAGCAGAGACTAAAGTGTGGGTGAAAGCTGTATGAGGAATTAACAAAAGCAAATATACTTTTCATTTGCCAGAAGACTGGAAATTGCAGGAAGGTTTTTATTTTTCATGTGTAGTATTTCTGTTATGCCTACTTATAGTAACACCTATGTTAATAGTGTTGCATTATATATAATAAGTATGTATTGTATTTCCTCATTGTCTTCTTAATATTTAGCAATTACAGCTGAATATGTAAAATCAACTACTGTCCACATGCCAAAATTCATTATTAACAGTCGTACTTTTTTTTGTGTGCTGTGATAAATCCTGGTGCAGGACTACATTTGAGAGGCCAGGTATGATTAATTCCTGAAGCAAGTGGCCAGATGAAGATGGAAGTGCCCAGAGCTGTTTTACATGAACCTGAAAAAATGTTCCTTATTGTAATTGCTTAGATTACTTTCTATTCTTAACTCATGAAACAGTTTTTCAAATGCTTCTGACTGGATCCTGGAAACAATTTACCTAGAACAAACAGTCTCTAAACAAATCTGTATGTGTCTCCTAGGCCTAATCCCTATGGAAATGTGAGACCAAAATGTACCAAAGAAGATTTTCAGTGGCTTGTTAAGCTTTTGGCCTGCTCCCGCGTACCAGTTTTCTCTCTTCTGCATCACCATTTTCCAAATACTTTTGAGTGTAGTTACCAGCATCTCAGTAATTTTGAGGCCAGAGGGATGGCTGTGGCCATGTCTGCACTGTTGCATAATACAGGCCACACAATCTGCCCAATAATCAGTATTCTAAGCCCTGTGAGAGTGACTATACTATGGAAGGGCATCTACTCTTCATTTAAAAGATTACTATTGATCCATTACATCTATAAGCAGATTGCATCATCTGTTACAAGTGAGGCATTCTCTTATTTCAAGCCAATACTGTTATTGCAGCACTCATCCCACAGGTTGCTAGGGTTGCATGCCTGCTACTTTGGGAGCTCCCAGTCAGTCATTCTGTGTTTACCAGCCATTGGGTTTAGAGTCCAAGGGTGAAATAGCAACTTGTGTTTTGGAGGAGAGTTCTATCAAAGAAGTGCTTGTAACACAGGTCAAATCTGGATATTGTGTTTGAGAAAAAGAATGGATTGTAACAAACTTCTTCCTCCAATCTCTGCATTTCTTTTCACAGCTCTAGAAGTCCCTGATTTGCTGTGAGACAGTGGCTCTGTGACATTGCTTTACAGTACCTGGAAGATGTTAAAAGTCTCATTTTTCTGATGTTTTAAATTTCAGTTCATAGCAGAATAGAAGAGGGCAAATTTTTTCTTTAACTGTACATCTGAAGCAGATTTGTTGCAGGTATGTGTGTATGTGATGAAATTCTCTGTTTTACTCTGTGCATGGTCCAAGGTCTGTGCCTACTGTAAATAACTATTCTTTTTTCTGTACAGCCTTAATGTAGTTTTCCCACAACACTGCACATGAAATGTTAATTCTATAAACAGTTTCAGTCCCATTGAAGATGATGAGGGAGTCCACCCATGTTCTTTAGAGATGCCAAGGATTTGTAAAAAGAATTAAGGAAAAAAATCTGTATTACTACGTTTGATGTAATTTGGAAAACTAATTC